AAAAAAGTAAGGAAAATAAACCATTCAGGGAGTCCCCCCTCCCTCCCAAGGCTGACTACATACTAGCTTCGACAGAACCAAAAACTTAGCACCCTTTACTGGACAGGTCAAACATTTGCAACTGAGAGGTTAAGGATAACTCTAGAAGGAAACAAAAGCCATACACTCATCTACACCAAGAGTAAACAAGCTAAAGCATCCTTAAGCAGCGCTATGCAACAGAACAAGGGACAGGAGATGACCTAAGAAACGCAGCACAGATTCAGACTTACCCAAGAGGCCTGTGGGGTTGTGCTTCGGTCTAAGCAAGCTTTGAACCCTGGGCTAAAATCTTTTTTACACTATTTCATGCTTTTGATGAAAATATACTCAAATCAGTACATTTTGAATACAATTATATTCAATGTGAGGGTATGAATGCGTATATATGCAGGCAAATACAAGGATTAGGGCTTTGACGACGACCCGACAACCTGACAAATAGGAGGCGCACACTTTTCCCCCAAAGCCCAGTGGATCAGTACAAGGTCCGCGCTCCAGCACCGCTCCGACCGCTCATGTTTACAAACGCGGACAGGAGGCTAACCTGGACCCCGGACGAGGACCAGGTTGAAACACCGGCCTCCCTCCTCACTAGAAAGGACCGCCGGCGAGCTCAGCGAACACCCGTGATGGCCTCGCCGCGGAGCCCGGCGCGGCGGCGCTCAGGAACGCAGGCTGCGGTGCGGGAGGCAGGGCCAGCTCCGAGCTCAGCTCGCGGAGACCCCGCGGCCGCCGCAGGTGGAAGCGCCGCAAGCCCCGCCCCGCCGCCCCAGCCAACCGCGGACGGCGGGGGCGGTGCCTGGACCCGCCACACCTGCGGCGGCCGGCGTGTCCGCACCACGTTGCCCAAAGCGCCCCGCCCATAGCCCGCTGCCCGCCGCTCGCGCCCGCCGCCCCGCCCCGCCCCATCCGCGTCCCCGGCCCCTGCCTGCCCCGCGACCGGTGCGAGGCCCGCCCTGCCCACCCGGCCGGAGTCGTCCCCACGGCCCCGCCGCCGCGCCGCCCCAGCCGTTTCCACAACGGCTCCGCCTCAACCGTCGAGAGGCTGGGCGTCCGCCCGCTCACCCACCCGCCGCTGCCGGAGACCGGCCCGGCGTCACGGTCCCCCTCCACGCAGCCCCGCTGTCAGAGAGGCCCGTCCCGGCGCCCGGCTCTACCTGCGGCTGGAGGAGGCCTCCCCGTCCGGCCCCGAGAGCCGCCGCTACGGCCGCCACCTCGAGTCGCGTCTCTGGCCTGCGCGACCGCCGCGGCTCTTCAGGCGGCCGACCGTGGGCGGGAAGCGCCCGCCCAATCAGCGCCGCGTGCGTTCGGAATCGCGTCCAATCAGCGCAGCCCGGAGTCCAGGCTCCGCCCCTCGTACCCGTCGGCGACGCAGGGGTCGCCAGAGGCCGAAGCTAGGGGCGCCGCGGTGGGCGCGGCTCGGGGCCGGGCCGGGTAAGTGGACTGCCGCGCTGCGGCCGCGACCCCTGCCCCGGCCCCCGCCCCAGAGGAGGTGCTGGCCTTCCTGCCTGGCCCCGCACTGCCCTCCCGCGGTGCGGACGCGCCCGGGCGCCCCACTTGCCTCTCTGCAGGACTCTGGCCAGTAGGGCAGGAGGGCGCGGGCGGGTCCCGGGGAGACCTCTGGGCCGCCCACAAACACCCTGGATGGCCACGGCTGGACGGGGTCGCGGGAACCTGGGGACACCTGCCGAACCTGCGAGGGTGTGAGGGCCCGACTCCCCCCGAGGGAGCCCACGCTGCGGCCCACAGAGGATGGCCTAGCGAGGCCAGGCGGGTCCCCCTTGAGCCCCGCGCCGCGCTCACTTCTGCCCAATTTACTGGGACTGCCACCTGCGGCACTGGCCACGCCCACCTGGAGCCACGCCCCCGACGCCACGCCCCCACCCCGTTTCCTAGAAGCAGGTGGTGTGGGGGTCTGCTGTCCTCATTAAACAAACCTCAGACTCCTGGGGGACATTAGGCTGAGGCCATGTAGGCGTGGTACTGAGCACAATCATCAACAATGTATCCGAGGCTTTTTAGAGCATTTCCACTTAAATTCTAAGTTTAGATGATAAGATCAATGGATGCTTGCATAAAATAGGAAGCAATTCAAAATTTAAAGTACCAATCTCTCATCTTGCCACTTTTTAGTAGAGAAGAAAAATGGTAAGAATGCTTTTTGTTGAGTCACAGATCTGGAAAGCATGGGGATTGTTTAGTAAACTACCACATGGAAGATAAAAACAGATCATCTTATTTGAATTGTTCTTAAACAGGGTTTTAGAGTATGGTGTTAGATGGAAAACCTTATCAATCAATCATTATTGGATTTCCAATTAAATTTAACAAGCACATCCTTTAACATCCACATTCCTTCCCGTAAGTGCAAGGCTTTGTACTGGGTAAGGGACATAATCAGGGGGAGGCAGATACACACTCATTACTCCACACACAGGATTCAGTAAGCATTGAAAGAATCACTATCCCATACCCTACACTCCCTTAGAGCTTTCATCAGATATTAACACTGTTCTGGCCTAATAGATTGCATTTCAGTTTCTCAAGGACATACACGATTGTGCTGCTGAAGCTGAGGTGTAATCCTACAATTTTCCTTTTTTTTGGCAAGGCGCTAAATTTGATAGTTTTAGGAAGAATAAGACTTATATATGAAATGATTTAAACAAGAAGTTTCCAAAGTCTTGTTTCTATAATTAGACCACAAGAAAAACACATCTCAGATAACAATTTATGCACATACTTTAATATTTAGGCTTGAGTGAAATCATCTTCAATAACCTTAAAATATGTTTGGGGAGACAACCCCACAATTGCACAATCCACTGCAAAATATTAACATCTAAGCAATATAACTATTTTAGGATATGAAAGTTCTCCTGAAGCTGAACTTTATCAACTTCTTTATCAACTAGGCAGGTGTATTTAAGTTTTTAAATTTTTAAATGTTGATTTTTTTAAAGGCACGTTGAGGTTCTCTTAGTATCGAAGATAAAACATTTACTGTATATTCTATGACCAGAACCTTTTTGACAAGTGACTTTAACATGGATAAGATTCTTTACATGCCTTTACCCAACAATACATTCGGCAGCTCTAACTCTTATACCTGAATGCTCTGGACAATTGTCGTGCGCTCTGGGCTGGAGCCAAGGACACAACAGCCATGGCTCTCACAGGCTTGCTGACCTAATTGGACAGTTTATTAAACAGGAGGAAATGGAACCAGGCTTCTGTCTCTCTTGCATGTCAATGTAGTGCACAGTGCTAATAGCCAAAGGTTGTTCAATTGAATTACAATACTTTAAATCAAAATTCAGTGTAATTATCAAAAGGTACCAAAGAAAGCGATCCCTCTTCTTGGAATTTTAGAAACACGGAAGTTGCAATTATAAAAATAAATTGGTTAAAAGGCAAAACACATCTTTTACATAGTGATTTGACAAGTGTCAATAAGTATTCAAAACTTTAGAGTTAATTCATTGGTGACAGCTATCACAAATTAATGACACTGGTTTCAACTGCATCAGAACCAAACTTCACAAGGCCTTGTTCATCATGGGTGGGTTTTCACACCGCAGTGTTAGCACCTGCTATCAAAGAGACCACCACTCAGCACCAAAAGAAATCATCAGTGCCTTGCTGGGAGTTTTAAGTCATCCTGGTATTCAGCAGGTGACAAAGTCCTTGACTTCTTGATTGGAGATAAAAAACAAAAAGGAAAAGCATTTAACATTTTAAAAACTGGGGGGGGGGGGGGAGTCCAGACAACGTTAGAAACTCTCCTGTCTGAAGGCACAAAAAATAAAGTTGGCAGGTAGCTGATAAAACTGGAAATATATAAATACAATTTAAAATGATTAAAAAGTGTAAGTATTGGTGATTTTTCCTCCAGGGCTCCAGCTATTGATGAAAACCCCTGCCAGTTCCACTTGATAACCTGACTTCTGAAGGATGGCCGCTGGAATTTTCTGACACTTAAGCAGACATAAAAAGAGTCACCTTAGTCATCAAAAAGGTATTGCAAAGGGCATTGTTGCCTGAAATTTTTCTACAGAGTTGCCTGAAAATGGAAATAACTTAAGGCAAAATTTCTTAAAATGTTTAGGTAGTCTCAAACCTAAACAGAATGGCCTGATAACATGCAGATACATAATTATCAAAGACAAGAAAGGGAACACAGGAAGTGAGAGGAGAGACTGCAAGAGAAGGGACTGTTTTGCTAGTTTTCAAAGTCAAGCTTTTCCCCCTTCCTTGGCTGTTGATGTAGAAGACACACAGCCTAACCAGGGCAGCCTGAACTCCCAGGAATGGCTGTGTGATGACTGAGGCATAAATTTCTTGCCTATTAATAGTTTCCCACTGTTAGAAGTCTACAGATATTGGCAACCAAACCTAGTCTCAGGTTTTCCTTGTCCCAGGGCAGAAATGCCTCAAGGGACCATGATCACACCATACATTCTGTTTACAATGCGCACAAAACACACAGGACTTATTTTTTAGCTTCTTAAATCCAGAAAGTTCCTGAGAAGGCATCCGATAAGGGTAAAATGTTCTAACATCACAATGATAAATAACAGCTACGTTTACAGGGACCCAATCAGGACACATGCAAAAGCCACAGGCTTTCCTAGTAGGAGGATGCAGACCTTTCCAAAAAATCAACCAACCAACCAACCAACCCAGCCTGCCTGGACCCTCTCCAGAGGAGTAGACACGGCTATGCATCCACCCACCCCGCACCCTCCCCCAGCGCATTATACAACTTGGCCTCCCGGCCACCTGAGGCTACTTTGTAGAGCTAGTGACACAGACATTTCGAGTAGAGAATGGGAAGGGCTACCGCCCAGGGACTTGAAGCGGGAAGTGAAGTCAGAAGACTCAGGGTGGGGTTGGGGTGTGCGAAACAGTAACCGCATAGACTGGAGAGCCCAGCTAGGGGACCACTGCGGCCGCCTTCAGATGAAGTGGATCCAGCTCTCTTCGCACTCCCCGCGAGGCATGTGCAGCGCATGGTTGCGGCACGTGAGGCTGTAGTCTCGGCCATGGTTGTTGTCCCAGTACTCGGCGCCCGCTACTCGGTAGCGCAGAGCAAAGTGCACGCGCGAGCCCAGCGCTAGCAGGAAGGGCGGCACCGGGAAGCCGAAGGCGAAGACGTCCTCTGTGCCCTCGGAGCCCGCAGCCCCGCGCCACCGGGCCACCGCCTCATGCGCGCTCTGCCAGTCTGAGAAGGTGTAGCGCACCGCCACCTGCTTCTCGAAGGCCACGTTGCGCACGCGCACCGTGCCGCTGATGCCCAGGTCCGAGCAGGTGACGCGCTCCAAACAGACGAGCTGCTGACCCAGGCGCTCGCCGAAGTCTGCGGCCTCGATGGGCGGCAGGAAGTCGGGCACCAGGCACCGCAGGGTGAACTCCAGGTCCTGGCTGCTGCAGCACAGGTCCGAGTTGATGGCGAGGCGCGACAGCACGTGCAGCGGCACCGACGGGTCGTCGCCCGCGTTGAACACCTTGACCTGCGCCAGCTCCAGGCCCAGCGCGTCCGCGAAGCGCACGCGGAGCTGCCGGCTGCAGCCTGGTCTGCAAGCGGCTCCGGGCGCGCCCCCGGCCTTCTGGCGGCGCTCGGGCGAGCTGGGCAGCGAGCGCGCCCGCCGCAGGATGATGGGCCGAAGGCCGGGGTCGCAGCCTGACGGCTCCGGCGGTGGAGGTGGCGCGCGGCCCGGGCTCCCGGGGGGCCTGCAGGGCTGCGGCTCCCGGGCGGCGCCGCCGTCCAGGTCTGAGAGGCAGCTGAGGCTCCGCGGGGCGGGCTTCCGGAACCCCGGCGCGGAGGGCAGGGCCGCCGAGCCCCAGCCTCGGGACATGGCCCGGCCGGCCGTCGGGCGACGGGGAGGCGGAACCGAGAGGCGTTCTCCGGACCCGGCGTTCCCTACCTTGGGGTCCGCGCCGTGTTCAGAATTCCCTGGTGTCCGCCGAAACCGCGGCCTGCAGGGAGCCTCTGGGGCCGGCTGTGCTCTCCCCCCGTCCGCCACCGCGCCCCCCGAGTCCTGGCGCAGGTCTTCCGCCTCTTGCAGCGAGAAAGGAGATCGTCTGCCGAGAGAGGAGTGCTTTCTTGGGGGGAGGCTTTTCCGGGACCCCCGGGAGCGCAGGGTGGCGCCTCCCTTTAGCTTCCTCCGACGTTCTTGGGGGAAGGCTGCGCCGGCTGGGCCGCCCCTCCCACCTTCCCCGCCCGCTGCGTTACTTACATGGCTCCAACTTGTCCCGGAGCAACTTCCTGGCGAGCCTGCGCCCCGCCCCTCGTGACGCCGCCGCGCGCCGTCCCCGCCGGCCGGGCACAGCCGGGGAGCCCGCCGCGCCGCGCGCCGCCGCCGCCCCTGCCCTGCCGCAGCGCGCCGCAGTCCGGCCTCCCCGCCCGGCGCCGGGGAGGCTGGCGGGCGGCCTCGTCACGTGTCCTCGGCGATCGCCGAACAGGTCTGATCAATTTCTGTCTGCATCTGCCGGGTCCCTGCACCTATCGATCGTGGATCCGTGTCTGCACCAACGGAGGACGAGGAAAATGCATGCTGCGGGCCCTTGGACTTCTGGGTTACTGGGGCGGGGGGGGGGCGGTGCGCAAAAATTGGCCTTTCCAGAAGCTGGTCCCTGGCTAATTTGAAGCCTGTAGGCTAGCCAGCTCTTTGGACGTCTGCACTGCAACCTGAAGCCCCGGCCAGACCGCGGGAGCCTCGCTGCGTAGAGGTCTGGCGTCCTGACCACACATCACCCACAATGCTTTGCCGCGGACCGCCGCCAGTTCCCTGGAGGGTGGGGAGGGGGCGGTGCTGCAGCTGTCAGTCTCCTGGCGCCTGGCCCGAGAGGAAGATGTGGGAACCAGAGTTAATGCCCTGTGATGAATTATGCCACTGCCCTTAATCGGCCGCTGGCGCTGGGGAATCATTTTTGTAGCCAGAATCCCAGACTTTTAGCTTTGTTCCGCTGCAAGCCTGAACCATCAGGGAAACCGCGAGCTTGCTTTCTGCATCTTAGGACCCTGCAAGCATTCTTTGCCTATTTCACCTGTAACTTGCCCACAAAACGCTGTCTCTTACAGTGTAAAGCATGCCAGGTGAAATGAAGTGGGAAAGGTGGAAACGCGCTTTCCAGACAGCAGTTTGGGGCCAGGCATCTTGGAGGGTTCCTTTTTACCCTACAGAGGGACAAAGCAGAAGGAAAACCAAACTATTGAGGGGGGTTGGCAAAGAACCTTCTCTACATCTAACATAAATCCAGCCTGGGGTATAAGTCATTAACTGTGAGAACCTGTGTACCCTGGCTAAAAAGGCATACACGCTTATGAAAAGTAATACAGCAGCGTTTCAGGAAGAAAAAAGTCTTCTATCCCACCTCTTGTCTATTTTACAGATACAGATAGGGGATATTATGGAAGAAAGTATTCACTTTCCAATCAGGGCCCTTTTAGTAGGCCACCCACTCAAAATCAGGGAAAGCAGCATTCTTGATATGAGTCAACAGAATTTCACAGAGATAACATTATATGATCTGTATTACTATATTGACAATCTTTAAATGGATTGATGTGATCCTGAAGGCAGGAGAATTAAAGGGGAGCTTCCCCAATAGAGTGCTTGTTCTATGAGAGCGGGGATATGCGCGTAATCCTGGCCATTTTGAAGGTTCTCTTGTAATTACTTGTTGAATGAATGAATGAATGAATGAGTGGACATGGGAGGTTGGAGTAATACCTGACCTTAATTATTAATTAGCCCTACACATTTCCTGAAGGTGTTATTTCCAAGGAGGCTCTGTGTGTGGTGTGTGGTATATGTGTGTGTGTGTGTGTGTGTGTAAGGAGAAAGAAGGATTCATTCCATTGGCAACATTTATAGCGGTGTGATTTTGTATCTAATATCCACTGTGAAAAACAAACAAGCAGAAAAGATGAAACTGTAAACAGAAGGCAGTACCAGCCCCCCCCCCCAACATTTCAATACTATGCAAATATTTCAAAACAAACCAGTGAAAGTAAGCCCAGTACTGGGGGCAGAAGCCTTTGCAATCCATACTTACCCACAGTGTTCTGTTGCTTCCAGTTCCGGTGGTGAGGAGTCCTTTCCAAATATAAGAGGAATAAAGAAGTCACTTCCCCAGCTGTCATCATCTGCCAACACATTGAGCAAGAATATTTCAAGCACTACAGAAAAGGTGATGTAAATTTTGAGGGAAAATCTTACTAGATTTGTTCTGCTGTTTTGTGTGTATGTGTGTGTGTGTATGATGTTGTTGTTGTTGTCACAGTATTTACTACTCCATGTCTGGTTTTTTAGACAGTCCAGCAAACCCTAGAAGATGATCGGCCATCTGATTTTTTCAAGAAAGGGAATAGGGTGACAAAATCTCATCAGAAAAGCAGGTAAATGATTTTAATTGCTTTATCTTGCAAAAGGCACATTATATCAGTTCTCCAGGCTGAATATGCGTGGCTGGAAATAAAATAACGTCTGTGGGCAGAAATGAGTGGGCAGAGTGGTTTTAAACATTAAGAGTTAGTAAAAATTCCAGAGGTCATACTTCTGCCACGTTAACTGTTAGCAGAGTCTATCATTTTGGGTAAGCCCCTTAGTCACCCTTCTATGATTGTTTCCTTTTTTTATAAAGAGGATACTGATCATTACTTTTATTGATGTGCACTGACAGAGTCAACAAAAGTTATAACAGGATTGGTTATGAGTTCCAAATAAGGACAATTCCTTTATCCATTTCTTCAGCATATACTGAGCATGTGTTAGCTATTGACCATGATTCAACATCTTCTGTATTTATTAAGAAATCACATATTTTCAAACGATTGCTTACTGTGGTAGAAACCACTGGGCAAGTGAACCTCTGAGGTTTCCAGAAAGCATGTTGACCACTCATTTTCTTTTACCCTACCTGACTTATGTTCCTGAGAAGTATTATGAATCCTAGTGAGATGCTATGCTTTGGGTAAACACACAGCAAAGAAAGTATTTTCAACTCTGATAGGAGATCCTGCCTCAGAATGAATCCTCCTGGGGGAACCCAGTTGCTCTGCTAGTCATTATTCCCATTTCTCCACCATTCACAAGACAGCAGTAATCTTATGTTTTCATTCATTCTCTGTTTTAAGGCACCATATGATTTTTTCTCTCTCCTTTTAAACTGTTTTCCTGAGTGTTTCCTATTTGAAAATACTTTAATAAGCTTTTGATTTGAGGTATAGGTTGTCTGTACTACACTTGTGATATTAAGATTTTAGACGGCTCAGAATCACCACCAATCGTGATTAAGTTGTATAAAACTTGCATTTTACACCTTGTTTACTTTTCATGGAAAACAGCCTTGAAAAAGAAAAGCTGTAGGGGGGCGCCAGGGTGGCTCAGTTGGTTAAGCGACCGCCTTCGGCTCAGGTCAGGATCCCGGAGTCCCAGGATCGAGTCCCACATCGGGCTCCTGGTTCAGCGGGGAGCCTGCTTCTCCTTCTGACCTTCTCCCCTCTCATGCTGTTTCTCTCTCTCTCTCAAATAAATAAATAAATTAAAAAAAAAAAAAAGCTGTAGGGGCACCTGGGTGGCTCAGTTGGTTCAGGGTCTGCCTTTGGCTCAGGTCATGATCCCAGGGACCTGGGATCGAGCCCCACATTGGGCTCTCTGCTCGATGGGAAGCCTGCTTCTCCCTCTCCCACTCCCCCTGCTTGTTGTTCCCTCCCTCACTGTCTCTCTCTGTCAAATAAATAAATAAAATCTTAAAAAAAAAAAAGAAAGAAAAAGAAAGCTGCAGCTTTTACTCGCTAGTGTCATTAAACACTGTTCATCAATAGCAGAACAGATTGAGAGTTTACAACAGATTTTCTCCAAACTGGTGTTTGTTCTTTTTAAAGTGTACATGACTGGTCTAAAATTATAAGCACTTTAAGAAATGTCAGTATTTTTCTTAAATGATACTATTTGATATGAAACAGAATCCATGCATCTCCTTTTGGCACCTGCGTCCTATGATTGTTTCCTTTTTTTATAAAAAGGATACTGATAAGTGTTTCTTGACTAGAGGCCGGTGTGGCCCGTTGCCCCTCCCAGGGACAGCGCCGACTGCAGCCGGAGGAGTCTGTTTAATCACAGCCAGACCTCTTTGTGTCCTATGAACTAAGAATTACAGTTTTATTTCTCACAGCAATATGAATGCTGGCCCATCTTGGAACAAAGTACAACGTTCAAAACACCCTTCAGGCAAAAGGCGGAGTCAGTTCCAAGTGCCTCACGTGTCCTCCCAGCCTCCTGCGGATGGACTCCAGGAAAGCGGTTCCCCAGAAGGAAAACCTGAAAGGAGCCCACTGGGCCCCCGGCGGCGGGGCGCCTCGGGGAATGAGCTGTTTCTGGACCTTCCCTGCGTGAAAATCCTGAAGGAGGGTGCGGGCGAGGACGACGACAGCGCCAGCGACCTGTCGGACTCCGAGCGAGTACCTGTGCCGCCGTCCTCGCGCGCGCCCCCGGAGCTGCACCTGCGCGCGGAGGAGGTTGACGCCGCGGACCCCGGTCCGGACCCCGGTCCGGACCCCGACGCGGCCCCGCAGGGCAGTGCGCAGCCCGCCTACCACTATGCGGACTTCCTGCCCGCCCCGTTCAGCTCCTGGGACCTCCGCGACCTGGCTGTGCCGCCCGGCGCTGAGCCCAAGCCCGCAGCTCGGAGCGGCGCCGCAGGGCTGCTGGCCAGGTACATCGACAGGCTGGTCCAGCTCGAGTGGCTACAGATGCAGACCGTCCAGGGCGAGAAGGGGAAGGGCGCCAAAGCCAGGCCTCCCACCGCCCCCGGCTTGTCCACGTCCCGGGCTCTGAAAAGCCCCGGCAGAAGCAAACTAGGGGCCAGTGCTCCGGCCAGGCCTCCCCAGGAGGGGGCTTGCAAATTGGGCGCTTCCGGCGCTTCCCGGAGGAAGGAGCTGCCCCGCGAGGAAGCCAGGCCCTCCTATTACGCGTTTGACACGACCCCCAAAGCCCTCCACGTGCGATGGGGCAGCAGGCCGAGTTCTCGGAAGCCAGCCCTCGACATGACGGCCGAGGAGCAGAGAAAGAAAGAGAGTAAGAGCCCCAGACTCCAGCGCTGGGACCTGCCCTGCAGTGATGGCGGTGGCCCTGGAGCTCCCAGGCAGGGGGTGACCGCTCGGGACTCCGCCGACCCCGGTGGGCCACCCAGGCTGCAGGCACAAGCGGGCCTGCAGAAGAAGGGCGGTGCAAGCAAGTGCGTGCACGCCACCACATCCAGCGAGAAGAAACCCAAAGCCAATGGAGTAAAGCAAAGCACATACAAATTCAAGTAAGAACCGAAATGATGCACTGCAAAGCCCTGCCGATAGCTAAACGTCAGAGTTCTTCCGAAAGTTAGCATACTGTGAATTTCTGATGACCCACATGTGAGTCGTCGAGGGGTCATGTGGGGGCAGCCCCACCTCACCCCAGCCACACTGGGCTTCTTTCCAAAGAAAGGTGGCTTTCAATGAGCCTTTCTTTGTGTTGACCATCTTAAGCAAATGAGAGCCATTTAGATAACACTTAACCCAGGTCTGCGCCATATAACGACATACAATGACGGGGAGACAGGTGTAAACTGGACGTAGCAACCAGCCCCGCACCCCGGCCGGTGGCGCCGTCCAGCTCCCCACACGCCGCGCACCCACAGGTAGAAAGTAGTGCATACCGCTTTCAACTGTGTAGACTCTGAAACGTTTGAAATAGGGTTCTTGGTGTCCTCCTTCTAAACTGCCAGACAGAAGTCCTATCTACTTCAGGCCCAGGAAAGGCTCCAGCCCTTCCTCAGGTTCAGGAGCCTCTCCTAGGAGCAAAGTCATGAACACTGAGCTGCTCGTTCTTTCCAGACAATGGAATCTAATACTTTCATAGTTTGGGGTCTTTTTTTTTTTTTTTAAGGCATTTTAAACTCAGAGGTGGTGGTGAAGTGCACCTTTGTGTTCTCTACCCCGAGGTTAGAGCAGAGCCCAGACTTGGTCCAGGTGTGAGTCAGTGGGTCTCAGCAGGACCGTTCCTGCCTGGTGGGAGCCCAAAGTGGAACATTTGGCCCCTGAGTGTTTCTGACGTAGGTGTGGCTCCTGGAAAGGGTGTGCAGTAAAGCCACCGTTTGGAGTGTGTACAGGGAAGGCCTGCCACCACAGATAGACATGAAAGCACTGAGATCATCACAGTCACCCCATACTGATTTGGGCCCTGGGTCCTGCTGTCCGTAGCTGACATAATCCATTTTACTTTGCAAGAGCAGGATTTTATCACCTTGCTTCAGGGCAGAGGCGTGAGGACACATTTCCAGATGGAGCAGGGAGTGTCGTCTTAACATCCTTACCGGGTCCCCTGGCTCCCCTGCTCTTCTAGATGCTTCTTATGTAACCGCCACTAAGCCAGGTCTATGTGCGCCTCTAGTCGCACTGTGAGGTTTCTGCTGATACTGTAAATATCTTTAAAACCTTTGGTTGACCACTGGATATACAGTATGTTTTAATGACTGTGGCCGATTTTATCTCTTTAAATGAGGTATTTGTTTTCATCCATACGTGTTTCTATTTTTTCACCTTTAGGGCAAATTAAGAAGTTGGCACTTTTCCTCTGGAAATGCGTACTAGCTTGCAGACTCCACCAGACAATGTCATCCAAGGCCTTTCAGTTAGTAGGATAACGACCAGAGACATTTGTAAATGAAATGATGCACACAGTTAAATGTTAAGATCCCGTTTTAAAATCTGACTTTACAAATATGAAACAGCATATACAGATTTTTAGGGCCATTTTCTTTTCACAGATTCTGTCTTACGTTCTTTACCTTTCACACCCCCCTATTGGAGAGAGCATGCTGTTACACGAAGATCTTGTACCTTTATTATGTGGGCAAAAACGCACATCTAGTGGGCCTTACTTCCCTAATTCTCAGTTATATTGTAACTTATCTACTCAATATATGCACTGCAGTTTGAAACCCTAGCACTGCTCTGACTGCACCCTTCTGTGGTTGCTGCGTGGTGTCCCCTGTGCCCTTTGCCTGCACTCCTCCTTGTGAACGCAGGGGGACTAGTCCTTTGTACCTAGCCAGCACGGCCCCTCATTCGTGATGCTTTCTCAGCTACCATGTTTACGCAGCCCTTTAGAACATTTCAGGGCTGATAAATCTCCATAAGCACATCATATACGTACACATACTCCCGTTATTAATACTAAGGGGTTTCGGTGAGCTGCTGCCTTCTCCAGGAATGCTGTGTGTGGGTCCCCTTGGAGGCCCTGCTGGGTGAAGGCCCCGTGTTCACTTTGCCTTGTGGACGTCTGAGCCAAAGACCATCCTGATTAGGAAATTGAGAGGCGGTGCCTCGGATGTCACATTTGTTCCTTGCTCTCTGAATTGAAGTCGGTTGCCTAATTTGGGGAACAGTTATAATGTCACGTTACGACAGTTTGAAAAGCCTGAAAAAGTGACTTTGCTTATTCACATTTTTGCCTCAGGTTGATGGTTTATTTTAACCAGGATTCTTGCGATTGGATCAGAGCTCCTCATGAACAGCAAGGGCTCACTAGAGAACATAAGCACAGTTTCATTCCCACGGTTTCCGATCCCCACCCCTGACACAGCCTCTTGTTCTAAATGCTGCAGACAAGAATCCCGCCACTTTCCCGCAGACAGCGCCCGAGAGTGGAGTCCTGGCCTCCTGCGGTTGGTCGCGTCTAAGCCACCCAGTGTCCTGCTAGTCTGGGGACACATCATTGTCTTCAGAGAAGTGCCTCTCATTTCTGGGAGTTGTTGACACACATGTTGTGTTTAAACCAACTAAAATAATCCAAGGTTTAAAAAAAAAAAAAAAGTGTAGAGAAAGTTAAGAGCTACTGAAGGTTTAGAATCAGTTAATGGAAAAAGTTGTAAAAACATACAAGAACAAACTGCAAAAACCTATCGGTATTAGGTACAGTTCTTTAGGTTGAGACTATTTCTCAACTCCTTAAGGACCACACTGGCTGAAGGTTCGTAAGTGACTGACAGGGCAGGGTGGGTTCCTGTGTTGACAAAGATCGTTGGTCTCACAGCAGCTACAGGCCGAAAGGAGGAAGGCTTGTCCTGGTTCTTAAGCCAGTAGGCTAATTTCCCAAAAGACGGGACAATCTCCACCTTTCATGATGTAAATACTGCATTTCCTCTTTATGCTCACTTACTTAGGTAGTTAAAAATAGAAAACTCTAGATGGTACTGTGTTTCAAGGTAACAGAGAAGCAGTATTTATGATTTATTCATGTCCGTGTACAGAGGTCCATTTCAAATGGCCTGACCCAATCAAGCATGTTTGTTATTTGCTGTTAAATTATTGTATGCTTGGTTTTGTACATAATAAAACGAAACATGTCTAAGTTTTTGTGAAGCTGGATTTTTCCTCTCTTGAGGTCAGTTAAACAGTAGGAGATGTTGCCTGGTTTTTCAGGCGTGGTTTTGTTTTGCTTTTCGTGCAGTTCTCTTCCTGAGTTGGTCTCATTTCTGCCTGTTCATCTCACAGATCCGCTGGGCAGGAGACTCTGCGCCGTGTCCTTTCTTAACACTCTGCAACGCACCTGCCAACATGACTAGGTGCATCTGAGAAGCACCACTGGTGTTTTCCCGAGTCCCTGTTCCTCTTGTTCCCCCCGAAGGTGTCCAACAGTTAGGGAGGCAGGACGGAAATTCACTAACAGTAAAGTGACATGATAGGAGCTCACGCGCCAACGGGCCCCTCCCGGACTGAGCACCAGCGCTCTCCAGGAGCGCACCTGGAGCCGGGAACTTTCGCAAAGGCCCCTTCCTCCTTTTTCTAAACTCCCTTCTGACAAGAAGGGGCATTCTTTTGAGTCTACCAAATAGTGGTAGTTTAAACATAATTCTGGGGGCATTAAAAAGCAAAATTCCACCGAGAAAATTTTATAGATCTCATTGGCTTTATTTAATGATGCATGAATCAGGCAGCATCCCGGCCAGCAGGTGGAAAGGAGCTCCGAGGAGTGTGCAAAAGGAAGGACTTCTATAGACAGTAGGGAGTGGGCGTGTGGAAGTTGTACTGGACAAGAAGGTGGCTGGGTGATTGCAAGCTCACTTTCCTTTCGGGCATGGCCAGGGTCTTATCAGGTGAATGGCCTTCCTAGTGCTGATCAGGTGACTCCTGACTGCCTGGTTGAAGATCCCGCTCTGGGAGAGCCGAAGCTCCGAATAAGGCTGGGTTCTGTGGCCGGCTGGGCAAAGTCACCCCATATGGGCCTGTGGTCTTTTTATCAGCAGGTTTAAAAATAAACTTCCTGGTAGTTGGAAAATTAACCATGTTGGGGGTTTTGAATCATAAATTTGTACATAAAATGGTAGGTTATTCTTGGATGTTGCTGTTTTATTATCCATAAGGTGGCAATGAAACTTCTCAACCTAACGTAAAACCACCTCAGTCTAAAGGTCTCCTTGTTTGATTAACATCATACAACTATATTAAGCACAGAATAATGGTCAGTGGAGGAACATGGATCATTAATCTGTAAAAATCTTCCTAGAGACCCTGCTTCAAACAATAGGGTCCAAATATCCCTGTCCTCAGCAATTTGCTATTGAAGGAATTAACTGTGATAACACTGGGAAACATGTGGAATTTTAAAAATGGGGTAGTCACGAATAGAACTGTCCCAGCTCAAATGATATTTTAGAGAAAGCCCATGCACATGTCACTTGTGATCCCAGTCAGTCAGCACGGTTCCGTGGCCCTGCTCTTCCCGTGGTGAGCCCCGCCTTGGCACCTGCCGCGGGTGAAGGAGTTCCCGACACGCCGCCCTGAAATCCGCCGCCCGGCACATTGCCTCCCTTGAGTTAAAGGCACTTGAAAAACAGCAAGTCGAAGAAAAACACTTACCTTTCTTCTTTCTCTTCAAAGCAGGAGATGAAATTCCTGTAGGAGAGAAGTCCTCCTGGTGCCAGAAAGAAAGAAACATTCTTACCGCCGGGGCTGAGAAGCGGTGACTGAGAAGAATTCTGCACAGATTTTGTTTGTTAAAAGGCTCTCATCTTCCTTAGTCTCCCCACATAGCCGAGGACGTTTTCTGCAACTGCCTCTCCTTGTTCAACCTATTAGCAAAGCCGGGGACTCCCACCATCTCTCCGGGCCCTCATTCCTTCTCAAGGCCCCCGCGTCTTGCAGAACTGGGATTCCACAGTTGGTCTGCTTTTTTCTCCTGTTGATCTGTCTTACGTCGACTTAATTCTCAGCACCAGCCTAAAAGGACCCAAAGAGGGTGCAGGGGAGCAGTATGCCACCCCAAAATATTTTTAAGG